TAAATACCACTTGTGATATTTCAAAATTGTCTCAAATTTCACTCGCCTAACGGCTCATGAAATTACGTATAACAATTTCGAAATACCACTCGTGGTATTTATGTCAAATATCACTACAAAACCTGCTATTACCTATACAAAATTTGATAGCGATCGGACAAGGAAAAAAAACACTTTTAAGGGGATTGAAAAATATCGGTATGGCCTCTGAAAAACTGTACCGAAACACCTTAAGTCAAGACATTTTGGCTACCGCTGTAATGAACTTTTATGCGGCTAACTTCGTAAAAATTCAATTTCTGATCTGAAGACCTAATCTTACTTTGCCAAAACTAATCGACATTTCCCGCAAAAGACATTAATAGGGAGCGTGCGATGAGATTTTTTATCTGTATCTTCAAACTAGCCAAGCTCTATATAAGTACAGCACTTAAAAAGATCAATTGTAGAAGCGTATTCTGTTCTGTATCGTTTGCCTGCAAACATGACAATGTTCGAGTCTTTCTGAACATTCCTTGCAAGCACTGTGACCACAGAAAAACACCACATTTTTGTCTCTTTCCATGCAGATTTGACACAGAATAGCATCTTCCCTGGCTTGCAATTGAGATTCTAGAACGCGTATTCGTTCGGCGTAGTCTGTGTCGTCCATTAAGGTTGAAGTGCTGACCGGGGCACCCTCTGAAAAATAATGAATCAAGCTAATCATCTCTAGACTCCGAGCAGTCTATTATTTTTCTTTGCAATGTTCACTAGACGGATTTGAAAAGAAAAGTCGGACTGCAAGGAGTTTACATCATCTCAAAATCAAGGTACTTAATAACTGGTTTGGTAATTGTTGTAAACGTTCAAATGAAGCCTCTTCAGCAGTACTTTCACATAGTACTGTTTATTTAGTATGTAGTACTAACTTTTGAATCTGTGGATGAAATCCTTTGGTGTGACCATTCAAATGAAGCCTCTTCAGCAGTTCTTTCATATGGTACTATTTATTCAGTATGTAGTTCTAACTTTTGAGTCTGTGGATGAAATCCTATGGTGTGACCATTCAAATGAAGCCTCTTCAGCAGTACTTTCACATGATACTATTTATTAGTCTCGCTTGCTTTAGAAAAGCGAGACTCTTAAAATGCGAACGTTTTTTTTTCCGTCGGTGGGACCTAGTTTGTAGGCCCCGCGTTCCTAGCGAAGACCGTGGAAACTGGGGATAAGAATCGTGACGACTTTCATTGTATGGAAATGAGTCTCCTGATGAGAATGCAGTTTATTTCGGCGATGACTGAAATGACGCATGTAAGTTTGGCAATGACGTAATTTTCCTCGAATGGAGGCCCTTGATTTTCGTGTAATTATGCACGACATGCAGGCACATCCTCAAGCAGGATGAGACAACATTATAGCGGGGAAATCCTCAGGATTTTGTGGCTTTTTAAGGCGTTACGTTTCTCAGAATATTGTCGCAATTACAGGAAATGTACGGTTAAATAGTTTCACTCTGTTTTATGTATTTAATTGATAGATTTTCGCAGTTGTTACGATGTGAAGTCGTGTTGCACTTCATAAATACTTGAGATATGAAGTATCCACTGGCACGTAATTTTTACGTGCGCACGTGCGTAAAATTTGCGTTCGCAAATATAATAAAGGCAATGTATGAAAGGCTGCACGTACAATTATGTAAGCGTAAAAGTAGAAACTCGCTTAATTTGACGTTTAATCTCAATACTTTATGTCTTACCTCTATTTGATTTACGTGATTAAAATTTACGTGCATTAACGTGCGGAGCCAAAAACGCATCAGTGGAAATCCACCCTAACGTGTCACGGGTACCTACCTACCTACCTACCTACCTACCTACTACCCTACCCTACCCTACCCTACCCTACCCTACCCTACCCTACCCTACCCTACCCTACCCTACCCTACCCTATCTATCTATCTATCTATCTATCTATCTATCTAAATGCATCTGTCTAATCTAAACATTGTACTCTGAGACTGTACGGAGATATTAAAAGTAGATACTAAGCAGCTATGGAAAATGTCATTACTTTCATGCGATATTGATATCTTATAAAACGGACAACAAATTCAGCAGGAATACGCGCGAACTGGATTTACTGTGTGTTGTATAACGTTCTGTCCAACTTACACTTTTTTTTCCTGTCCTGAACATATACTGTACCGAGCCGTATCTTGGTCCGGTACCTACGTATATTTATACTGACAGAGTCATAGGCCCCTGATACCGATAAAAATCATCGTTCAATTTTTCGAGTGTAGCATCCCTGAAAGAGTAGGTTTTCAAAGGTTTCGAACCGGTTTGAGGCTAAGATGTGCAGTCTGTCTCTCCTTGCAATTTTTACTTTTTGAGTATATACATTATGACATACAACACTCGTTTTGTATTCCAAACGAAAAAGTAGTATAACGGCACCGGGGCCTTTGACATTATAACTCATCTCCAAGCAAGCGAGACTCAACGCTACTAAGAGCGTTCTTGTTTAGTATGTAGTTCTAAATTTTGAGTCTGTGGATGAAATCCTATGCTGAAACCATTCTAATGAAACCTCTTCAGCAGTACTTTTACATGGTACTATTTATTTATTTAGTATGTAGTACCTTGGTGTTTTGAGTCTGTGGATGAGTTCCTTTTTGAGTGTGGTGTGACCATTCAAATAAAAACATCTTCAGCAGTACTTTCACATGGTACTATTTATTTAGTATGTAGTTCTAACTTTTTGAGTCTGTGGATGAAATCCTATGGTGCCTCTACCAATCAAATCAAACCTCTTCAGCAGTACTTTCACAAGATGCTATTTATTTAGTATGTTGTTCTAACTTTTGAGTCTGTGGATGAAATACCACCAAAATGGTGTGACCATTCAAACAAACCCTCATTTGAAGGAACTTTTGCATAGTCACGATTCTACATTTTATATTTTACCAATATATTTATTTTGGAAGGAGAGAGGAATATTAAACTTATAAGTGTAACACGAATTACCGTATGTAGCTCGAAGAGAAGAGAACGGACGCACCTCAAAGAAGAATATCAATGAAATTTTGTTCTCAATAATTTGTTAACTGCTTCTCAGTTATTTTGAAATTGATTAACAAGAACATCAATGGAAAATTTTTTTTGTTCTCAAAAGAAAAGCGACTCTAAACAATTAATGAGACACCAAGAACTGCTTGATTCAAAGTTATTTAATGAAATTGATGATAACTGATAACTGGAGGATTTTAGCCAACCAGAAACGGCGAAAATGTTTGAATAAATAATAATTATCATTATTGACCACTGGTATGAGTGAAAGGGTACTTACCTGGTGATGTTTTTTGTTGAATTGGTGCTTTACATGTTATACAGCGCTTCAGTTTCATGGAACAAACTGTAAAAGAAAACGCTCAAGTGAATTGAGGTAAAAGGAGCTGATTTGATGAATGAAATCACTAAAAACATGAAAAAAGTATGAATTTACACAGCAAATACAAAAGGGAGTTAGTGGATCGAAGGTCAGTCGCGCCGTAAAGCTCTTTCGTTAGGCATACCCAGGGACATAAAATGTTGCTGTAGGCGTGTATGTACACTGGTATCTTGATTACACAGCTGAAATAACAATAGCTAGAGAATGTTGCAAGCAACCACCAACCACGAAACCGGAAAAAGACGGATAGGCCTTTTCAAACAATACCATAATACTCTTAAACAAAATTAGTCTCGACTGAGGCTTGAACGGCGTCACGGAATTCTGAGTTCGTGAAAGCCCGGGTTGGCTCATGCCTTGTTTCCTCTAAAAATTTTCGTTTTGTTTATATAAGAAGGCGAGCTGGCCCGCTTGCCGAGATCCGGCTCGAATAACTGGGATCTCCGCAAGCAAGCCCGCCTTCTCATATAAACAGAACGGCAATATTAAGAAGACGCAAGGCATGCATGAGCCGAGCCAGCATGGCTAACCGGGCTGTCTCACCTTCTGTAAACAGGCCCTAGGATTCTCTTCAAAACGAGGTTAAACGTGGTCATTTAAGAGTATTATAGTTTGTGTTTCCGCAGAGCGGAAGGCTTCTTCTTACGATTCTGTGCAGTTTTACCTGAACACGTGACTTTATGACCACACGGATTGAATGTAACAGTAGCTACGTTTTCTGAACAGATAATGCAGTCGGTTCCTGCAGACTCAGCTCGATTGACTGTATCCTGGGTCTTTTTCTGACGCTGCACTGCAGCGCCTGACTGTAAATTTGTAAGGAAAAACACGTCAAAACGGTCTTTGTAGAGGTAAACCTTCAAGAAGACAGGTATATTTCCTATACGTAACACTGCGGCACTTAAAGGCGACCTACGCCAAAATTAAAGGTATGATACTAAAAAGTTAGAATCCCATCTCATGTCTACGTGATTGGCTCCGGGAGAAGACGGGCTGACAATACTCGCGTTTCTCCTGGTAGCAATCGACAAAAAGGTCGCTTAGTTGTAAGACCTCTTAATCTCATTCGCACGAGTATAGCGCCTTACAAAAGACGGGCCTACACGCCACGGTCTATTGTGATTAACGTTTTGACCGCAGATTGCGTCTTCAGTAAGATCCCACAAGCAACCTTGACAACGCAGCTGCAACGTCGAACTGACACCGAGTACTAGCGAGTTGACAGCTGCTTAGTTACAATTTATATAAGTCGGCTAGAGACAAAATGAGAGAACCCTTGCCTTATGTAACAGCATAACATGATAAATTAAGCAATGAACACGTCGCTGAATTATTGACTTGGCGTCCATTCAAACTCTTTCGGAAACAATGCAAGTCGTCCAGTTACTTGGAAGTAGGAAAAACAAGTTGGAACTAATAGCCTTGCCGTTCCCGTTCCCTGATAACGCTGTTATGAATACCACCAACCCACCTACCTACCTACCTACCTACCTACTTACCTACCTACCTACCTACCAACCACTTACCAACTTACCTACCTACTTACCTACCTACCAACATACCTATTTACCTACCTACCCTACCCTACCTACCTACCTACTTACCTACCTACCAACATACCTACCCACCTGCCAACATACCGACCTACCAACCTACCTACCTCTTTCTGGGAAACAACTCGATCGTATTTTCAGTTGGCCACGCGCACCACACAATCTTTCTCAGCGCCTCTCAGCGCTACTAATAAAGAATTGGAAACAAAAAAGCTTACCGCTGACCGAGCCGTTGATGGTCGCGGCGGCATTGAAGAAGAAGGAACAGTCGACCGTGTCATAGGAGGCCGTGGCAGGGAGCTTGAAAGCACAGTTTGGGGACGAGGTTGAGTGAACGTAGATTGACGCGTGGAAAAAGTCTGTTGTCTAAAAGCACAGCAAAAATATTGTCCAAGTTAAGAACAAAAGGACAATCAGAGAACAAATAAAGCTGAATGATTTGATATGATAATAAATGATGAATGATAATATCACGTTTTCAGTGACACAGTTTTCTTTCAATTTTCTTTTTTTTTTTTCACATGATCATTTTTGACGCTTGTATGTTGAGTTAAAATTTACCCCCAAAAAATCAAAAGACGAGGGAACGAGACGTCATTCGATTTTATATAGTTGCTCTTCATCATCTACGGCTTCTTCTAATCAAGAGAGGATAAAGGGGTCTGTTGTTCTACACAACAGTTGAACCTCTCTACAACGGTGACCTTAGGGACAGAAGAAAGTGGCCATTGTAGCGAGGTTGAAACAAGAGTGAATGTATGAACTGTCCGCCAAAAAATGGCCGTTTTAGAGAGATGGCTGTTGTAGAGAGGTGGCCGTTAGTGCAAGGTTCGACTCTATACTAAATAGCTTTTTATGTAGCCTGCGAACAGACGATAACTAAACTCTGATTAGTACCGTCTGCGAAGCAGCGCAGAGATCCTTGTTCTGGGCCCCCAACGGACTCACCGAATTACCGGAAGTGCGTTTCGAATTCCCCTTCAACCTGATTGGCGATCACGACAAACAAAACAAAGCCTTTTTTAACTGGCCAATCGTGGCGCGTACTCAAATCTGGGTACACAGCTGGAAGTCCAGAACAAGGATTTCGGCGCTGTTTCGCAGACGGAGTTAACCAGAGTTTAATTTCGTCTGCGCGCAGGCTACTTTTTATGCCGACATGAAAGCTATCCGATACAGTATGAACAGCAACGGCAGAGAAGAGGAATAAAACGATCACACCCATCGAACATCGTACCAAAGCGGCCGAGAGGAATTGGTACTTACACTAAATCTCAATCCTCACTTCTCAACATTTACTTCGGTTTTAGTGGGTTCCAGTTCTCGCTCCTACTTACTTACTTCCGCTACGGCCCGATTACCTGTTCACACTCCGACGAAGAGTGACAGAAACCTATCCGACCATGTGATGTTTAGTTTGCGAGACCGACGCGTCGCAGCTTCGCTCCGATCACACCCATCGAACATCGTACCAAAGCGACCGAGAGGAATTGGTACTTACACTAAATCTCAATCCTCACTTCTCAACATTTACTTCGGTTTTATTTAGTGGGTTCCAGTTCTCGCTCCTACTTACTTACTTCAGCTACGGTCCGATTGCCTGTTCACACTCCGACGAAGAGTGACAGAAACCTATCCGACCATGTGATGTTTAGTTTGCGAGACCGACGCGTCGCAGCTTCGCTCCGTTACAGAAATTGTACCGAAATCACCGTTCTTGTCAACAGAAGCCCCACCCGGTATGAGAGATGATCGAGCTAGTGAAGTGACATAAAGTAGATGCGAATTTACCCACTTCGTATCCTGCGCTTGTAAGTAATATGAGAGCAACAATGAACGGGGCTCGCGAAAGGACCTCTCTCATCAAGTGTCCCCCTCGCGCGCCCCGTTCTTTTCTGAGCCCTACTGCTTACAAGAGCCTGCTTCGCAGGTCACCCACCTCGGTGCATTTCTTGCAAATTGCTGAATCAAGGCAGCAGTCTGGGTATCTTGACAAAGGTCCAATGGAGTTTTTCCTTCGTGGTTGTAAAAGCTGACGTTGGCGCCATGAAGAACCAAATAAAGTGCTATAGCTGAGCCCGTGTGCTGATCTGTCTCAGCCCCCGCTGGGAGATTAAGTCCTAAACCTTGCAACAGCTGAATCGGTGAGAAAGAATACAAAAAAAAAATAACAGTCAGAAAAATAAATCAATCTATAGGGGCAACACATTTATTGGTGACCTAGTCGTTGTCATCGTGACACTAAAATAATGATGTAGACAAATTTCGAGAAAAATTGAAAGTAACGTTATTCGACCTTTCGACGTTTCTAGTATCATTATCAAGAATAATAGCCATTAAGTGTCAAACTTGTTAAAATAGGAGACATTTGAATCCAATTTTCAATGCCGGTCATTTTCAAGCGTATTGGGTGATTTTCACAGACAAGATTTAGAATACTACTTTGTTAAATTAAGTCTCACAGTTGGTGATTAGCACTTAGTTGGAATTCCAATAGAATTTTTTCACTATAAAATAAATCAATGTGGCGGGACATCATGTTTATCCATAATTAATACGACAAGAAACGGATGTTAACTGCTTACATCCTACGTCTTGCCGAGAATAAATATGAATCCAATTACGAGGCGCGTTTTCAGGGTTAAATCTATATGGAAACACTGAACGTTCATTGGCAGACTAGACTGCGTTGAGACCTTAAACGCAGGGGAACCATGGGGCTTCTTCACCCTTAGTGAAACACTGCATTGTTTAACTTATTTCTTTCAATTAATGTACACCTGTATTATCGTTCACTTACAGAATACTTCGAATGGAGTCGGTGTTTCAGTGATCGCTGGCTAATTTACTTACAACGTTCACTGACGCCGTTTTTCAAGAAACGTCGTCTTTTTTCAGTGCTAGTTAAAGAGGAACTGCATGGGAAAGTTGGAACTTTATTCGGTTTTTCGCTAATTTCTTAAGTATTAGGTACATGGGTTTAGGTTAGAACTCAGCTATCAATTTAAAAACAATTCGTTTATTTCTTGGATTTGGTGTGAATAAAATAAAATAACAAATCGTACGCGTTATCGAAATTAGACTTAAAAACTAGAATCGTAGTCAAGCCGAAGAATAAAAAATGAAATTTATGGAAACCCATTTATAGAAAAACATTTCACAAGATCCTTCTATTCTTGTAACACTAATGAAGCATTAAGGACTAAACAAAGCACAAAACGGGTACCCGGTATATTAAGATGTTTCCCTTTTCCTCAAAGATGTGTTTCTCTCGTTAACACCTTCAGGTACCAGCAAAATATTTTTGTGCAAACATGACAAAACATTTTAGTTGTGAAATTTGTTAACAACCTTCTTTGTAAATAATAATCATTCATTTTAATGCAGCGTGACCAACAGACACACTGAAGAAAGGCTTCCATTAGTTGGTACCAGCAACTACATATAAACGTTCCGGCCTCTCCGGCCGTCACGAATTATATTCCTCCTCATTCGAAAAACGAAAGACAACAGACATTAACTAGAAGTGTTGGGAGTCGGCTAAGATTTCACAATCGATCATCGGAAATAATCAGATTGACCCACCCGATCAATCATCTATTATGTTTAAAAGAATTCAATTTATTTTTACCTTTGTGTAACTCAAAGTACATGTAATACAAACTTTTTGAGTTTTTTGACTGTGGACCACTGAGCTCAGAATTTTTTCCGTGCTTTCGGATGATTACTGAAATTCTCTTTCTTCTTTTATCAGGAGACCACAAAAGGGGAAAAAAGAGTTTTAATACGTTAATTTGCCAACAAGAAATTATATTTTTTCCGCGATAATCGATTGAACATTTTCGATGATCAATTACGCCTCGACTATAATCAATTATCGGCACACCACCGAGAGAAATGATTTGATTTCCTCAAAGACTTGTTTGCTTTGATTTCCCTTAATTTACACAGCGAAAGTCAGTTCGTGACCATCATTTATTAATAAGACACGTCAATAGATGACTAGGCCTCTATCGAGGTCATTAGTAAGAGACATAACATGAATCAAACCTTCAGTGCTTTCAACACAGACTGGGATGACGCTCGATTAGAAGATAGCAAAACACTAAACAAAACATTCAATAGACTACAATAGAACGGTAGGTGAAAACGTAACGTATTAAAGGAGCTGTGTTACGAAATTTATCAAAATTCAAACGGCGAGAACTGCCAGCAAATGGAGTGAAACATAAAAATAACCGCTTAAAACATTACGAAAAGGAATCATAAATAACGCAGCAAATGCAAAAGCTGGCACGGGTGGACAAACTTGAAGAAAATTGAGAAGCCGGATTACAGTAGTGGTTTTTGAAAACATTTTGTCAGCCTAAAAGTTTTTCACAGTTCCGTTTTGTCGTTCGAACGTTTCTCGTGGTTTGATAAAATGCTTGGAAGATATATTTGTTTGACACGAAGCTGCGGTTTTGTCGTCCATTCACAAGTAATTTCTCAACTTCCATAGCGTACAAGGAAGGCTAGTTGGCATTAGAGAGCTTTAGATTCGAGGACGGGAACGACTACGAGTAAGAAATTTGTCTTAAAATAAAGTTTTTTTCGCACATTCTCAAATAATAGATACCCTGGAAAGCTTCACTGTACTTTCGATTCACCAGAAAAGTTATCTTTATTGAAGGATGTTAAGCCCTTTCCCGATAGCTCATATCTGATAACTCTTTTCCGCCTCTATGACATTCCGGCTAAAACTCGTAGTAGAATGACGACGGCTATCACTTTTTCCCGCCAAAATGACGCATGTTTCACGCGCAAGCAATACTCAGTATTTAGAATCGTCTAAGAATCTAAAGGTCTGTAGTATTAACAAAGTGAACTAGACAGCCGCGAAACAAACCCTATGAAAGGCCGAAGAAAATAAAAACGATAAGAACCATCTCAAATGTGCGCTTTTTTTTCCTACAGCAAGGCTATATCAGCCCGGCATGTTGGCAAGATTAAAAATAGTGACCATCTTTCTAATTGTCCACCTTTTCAATGGAATATCAGGTTTGTTCGTTCCTTTATTTTCGTTCAAACTAACTTTGCTTATAACAACTGATTGGCCAACTGCCCGTTTACTATTTACCCAATGGTGAATGCTGACGAAGGCTAACGCGCGCTCAAAGTAGTACGCATCAAAATTCAGCGCGCTTTTTCTTGCTTTTACCATTGTTTTGAGGGGCTTTTTTCGTAACACCGACAAAACGATTACAAAGGTCGCTTAAGATAACATAAAACAGGTTGTCGGTAACTACCATGCATTAACATTCGAGGGGCTTTAAATTCAGATAAAAGATTTAAACGTAATGAAAAAGAAAACAAGAAAATACCTACAGAAATTACGATTCGAATATGCCTTTTAAAGTAAGTTTTAAACATTATGATGTCATTTCTAAGGTCATCAGGGGGACTTGGGGGGCGCACAAGTCCAAATTCGCTTCCCTTTCCCCTTCAAACAACTTCCACGCAGTCTACCACCTTGTGATGACAACCCATCGAGTAATTACCGGTTCTCTAATAAAAGAAGTTTTACACAAGTTCTTCTGTAAGTTCTCATTGAGCGCCTTCTGCAAATTTAGGCCATGTTCGCACTATACCGGATGTCATTTCGCGCCGACACGAAGAGCTAATCGGTAAAGTATGAACACCTGTCCGATATGTGACTCTCCGCTTTTGCTTTCGGAATTTTGGCGGGTCTGTAGGTGTGTGGTAGTGCAGTGGTAAGGGAGAGAGATTAGGATATGAAAGGTCCGGGTTCGAGATCCAGGTTCCACCCTGGCTTGCGATTTTCTTATTTTTTAATAGAAAAACTTTCAATTACAGGTCAAAAATTTTCTAAGTGTCTTAAAAATGGCAGCGACCGTTTACGAAACAGACAACTGCATCGACGCGGCCCGTTATAGAAATCGCGCAGAAATCATCCTTTTCATGAGTGAAAAGAAGCCCTATCTGGTATAGTTCTCGTACCTTTGCAAAAGCTAACCCGCACAGTGTGAACATAACCTAACAGCTGTTATTGTTCTTTTAGGACAAATAAATGTGACTTTGGCTGTGTTCTCCGGTAGACGGGATCCGCAGTGGTTTCTCCTACCCAGCAATTCAAAGTTTGCGCAAATTAAAAAGCTTCTCGATGAAGCAAGGAAAAGCTATTTAACCTACTCACCAAACATGATGCCCGCAAGACTTGGGTTCAAAGGATTTTTAGTTCAAGGATTAAAACAGAAGGAACCTGAACTAATTATTGGAAAGAGCACACTTGCTTTACAACAGCATTTATTTGGGACTCTTCCTGCAGGTAGGGTAACTTAGCTTGAGTCTGCGCGAACTTTTAAGTGAGAGGGCGGGAGCCAGGGGTCTGTTTTCGAAAAATGCTATATAACGTTTCGTACACGACGTTAATAATTAATCATTAGTATTTATCGTTACAGTATTTTCAACCCGAATCTATCTGTAAGTGTTAAAGAATAAAATATATCAAACAATGTGTCTAGACTATGGAGAAAGAAGTTCATTCTGGTCAGATTCTGGGAACAATTCTACCGCAGAAATGTTTGAGACCGTGAATGATGAAGTTCTGACAACGTTCATGGCGTGGATCCGGCTTAGAACTGATAGGACTAAACTTTCTTTCCTGAGATGCTGTTCATTATAATGTACAAAAACGTTGAAAATCCTTACGTATTACCTTTCAAATGAAAATCTTAAGAAGTATAACTTTATTTCTTCAGCATTTTAGTGAATCAAATTTTGTATTTTCTTTGAAGTTTTCCGCCGACACTACTCTAAACGGTTTCTCCGTTTTCTTTCAGACTGGTTGAAGGAAAAGATGTTGCAAGCATACTTTAACAAAGTTCTAAAGGAGGAAATAAGCCCCGGAGTAATCAGCGCAGTAAGCCCTGCCAAACAACCAAAACAACTACTTCAACAAAATCTACCAGAACCACTGAAACTACTGGGGCAAAAAGCCATACAATACCCCCAAAGAAACCGATTTCAGTTACCGGTAGACGAAAACGTTACGCTTATGAGATTACATCCTATCCTTGGAACGACATCCCTGCCGCACAGTTAAACAACAACTGCTACAACTATGCAAATAACAAAGCCACTTATACCTTCGCCCAGCCGGGGAGGGGGAGTGGGGCCAGGTGCCAGTATCATCTCCCTGACTGTATGAGAAATGCAGCGATAAACGATCATTTGGAAACTTTGGATCTGCCCCCCGCCGCACCTCTGCCGCCGGTTCCGAGTGGGAAAAAACATCTAGTGGCACTTGTCATTAACCCAGGTAAAAAAAATTAGAATTACTTTCTCGTACATAGGGTATAAAATGTAGCAGACGCTCATATAAACCCTTTGAACACGGCGGAAACGCATAACGAAGCCCTAAGAAGGTATACATGGAACCCTACTATACTGTCTGGTACTGTTGTCAAGGTTCAACGCACTTTGGTATGAAACAATGGCAGAAACTTAAAGATGCCATGGCTGCTATAAATACCTGCGCATTGTAAAATTAAAAAGCGAAAAAGAGAAAAAAAGCGATTTTAGCCTGTGTACAGCGTCTCAGATCACCCTCCCCTCAAACAAAATAGAGGCGATTTTGTTTGAGCTGAGAGGCGACTGTATATGGACTACGCGATCTTCGAATCAGTTTTGCGCGATTTAAATAATTCTCTTCCTTGAAAAAAAAAATCACTTGCTTTCGAACATACATTTCTACGGTGGCCCGTAATGGTATAAGTCGAGATATCATACCATGTATAACCCTTACGGGCAACCGCACCGAATATTTCTCTTCTCAAAGAAGGACCCCCCAATGAGTTTGTAAAAACAATTCATAAGTCGAGCATTTTCTGAGAAACTTAACACGACACTCCGGTGTCGATTAAAACATAGGGTGTCGTCAAGACAATAAACACATTTTTCCTAGAAACTCAATTATTCTCCTTCTTCTTTAGGTGTCGATTTTCACTGGTATCGTCTAGATCAGCTAGGTATTTGGAGCCACAAGCCCGGAACGACACAAGCTACCATCTTTGACAATGGGGGAGCCATCATTTTTGACCCAAGAGTGGCTAATCGGGGAGGTTACACGACCTTTGCTTGTTTCATGCACAGTGACAGAGATGAAGTAACAATTGCTTAAAATAAATGGCGTGATGATGTTATATACATACATATTTATTAATCCTAGCAGACGAACGACTTTTCAGGATATTAAGAAGTAGTCAATGCGAAAAAATAAAGAAAGAAAAAGAATACCTCTCTTAAACTGAAGGTACGTTCATACGTAAATTAAAATGGCCTGAAACAAATTTCAATATATGACATAACGGAAACCTGTCAATGACAATATTTAACCACACACACATTGTGATAAATATTCATTTATAGAGGAGCTCCACGCGCGCGAAGCGCGCGAAGCGGAGCACAATGGGTAAGAAAATTTAGTAATCTCCCCATCCGAGAAATTTTGGTAATCACGTGACCGTACGTCTCTACACTCACCCCTCTCAAGCCAGTGGTACCCACAGCCTGATGAATAACAGCAAGATGTAATGGAGTGTCACCATCCTCATCATCAGCATTGACATCTGCACCATGTTCAACAAGCAGTTCTATCATAGCTGTATAAGCTTCTGACACAGCTAGCGCCAGGGCTGTTTGTCTCTTGTTGTTTCGTAAATTGATATCACAATGGCCCTGGGGTTACAAACAAAACTGCGTGAGAGGCCACTTATCAACCACGTAAAAAGGTGCGCTAAGAGCCGAGTATTACTCCCTCTGGGTGGATTTACAATGTCGCGAAATTTTACCGTGCGATCGCACATAAAATTTACCTGCGTAAATGAAATAGAGGCAATGTATGAAAGGCCAGGAGGTTCAACTTTAACGTATACCCGTGACCTTCTATACACTCTCTTTATTTTATTTACGCGCACGTACGGAAATCCAAACCTTCAGGGAGGATTTCCACTGTCACGTAATTTTTATGTGCGTGCGTAAAATTTACGTGCGAAAACGAAATATACTGTATGCAAGGATGCGCATAAACGAAAAGGAGATATTAGTCGAGACGATTCGCAACGACGATTTTTAGCGCAACACAGCGTTGCAACATTGTTGCGACATTGTTTCGAATGGTTACAACATTGTTCCAACATCGCAGCGCTGTGTTGTTCTAAAAATCGTCGTTGCGAATCGTCCCGTGTAACATCACCTTAAGAGTTGAACCTCGCGCAACTTTTTCGTTTACGCGCGGCCTTCCATACATTTCCTATATATTGTTTACGCAAGTCAGAAAACGTACGTGCAAACGCACGTAAAAATTACGCGACAGAGGAAATCTAATCCTCAACCCCCACACGCCTTGATAGACTTACACAGGGTACCTATTTTATACCTAATATTATAAAGTATATTATTGATACCCCTCCCTTATAACTCATTGAATGTTAGTCTACACTTTACCTCACCAATACATCGTCGGGCTTTTCAGTTAAAAAATAAATAATTAATAAAATGGTACGTCAGAACGATAGAAAATCCAAACATTGCAATGCTACCATGGTTCATATGAAAGACGTAAGAAAGCTACAATTAAAAGATAAAAACACCATAAAAAAATGAATGGGGAGGTTTGTGACGCAAAATTAAAACAGACCCTAAGATTACTAGGATAAGCTAAGACCGACATATTAGCATCAATGTTAGAAGGGGGCCAATAGAGAGGAAAAGTCGTTACGCCACGTTGCCATGGTAGCAAAATTTTTGGTCCTGCAAATATGTCAGAAAAAAAACGAAAAAAATTGACATGTATTGTATGAATTTCCTGTGCGTGATTGCTCTCAGTCACAAAACGGTAGCCCATACTTTTCTTCCATCGTTCGACAATGGGCGGTCTCTGTCAAGAAAGATTGTCGAGATTCAAACTATTTTGCTACCATGGTAACGTTACGTCACGCTTCTCCTCCCTACTCAAGTGAGGTTCTCGCTTTTTCTCATTGTTTTGGACTTCCCGTCGAAGTTGTTTTAAACAAGAGTTCTGCATGGACATGCGTTAAATGGTCAAAATTGCTGATCACTTGGCGGCGCATGTATCGAACTCCTCAAGGATATTTAGCTCACATACCGACAACAGAAGACACCTCGCAATGTCAAGATGATTATTGAACGCGGATAGATGCAAAGCGGTAAATCCATCTTCTTTTGGTATCTCAATAAGACCAGGATACTTGTCTGCGATTTTCTGTACAGCACTGCAACCGATAAGGAGATAATTGAAGTTAAAAGTCGTCTTAAGCTGTCCACCGGAAAGAATAACAAAGGAAGGCAAAGATAAGTACATCTGAACCAATAATCTTTACGTCAAATGTTAGCCGGGCGAGATGGGAGAGCGAATGGCTTTTTCCAAAAATATATGAAAGTGTTGCACGATTTTCCCCAAATTTCAAGAATCTCTTAATTTTTATTTGTTTGTTATTAGTAAAATAGTAAAAGTGACCCTCATTTTCCGCGGAAAAAACCTAAAAACGGTTTGATAAAAGTATTAATAAGCGACCTGTCATTATGCAGTGGCAAAGTAAAAACCGTATTCAGAAAGGAAAAACTCTCGTTTAGGAAAAAACTAATGTTGAAAACAATGTTAATTTGAAGGTACAAATTATCTACGTAGAAACACACCCAGACTTGAAGGGTTTGCAGTTTTGCCTGGGGTATGGGACTCCAGTTGAACAAACCGAAGGAACACGCGAGCTTAAAGAGGAAGGTGATTGTCTCGAACTTACTATTGACCGACAGAGTCCCTCAATATTACTTACTGTAAGTTTCCTTTCATGCAGGCTTGATGAAGAGGGTTAAAACCCCTGCCATTGCACACAAAAATCTCAAGGCGCTCCGAGCGAAGGATAAGCTCCACGATTGCGTTCTTTTCTTTGGAGATCGCATCGTGTAACGGCGTATCCCCTGCTAAATCCTGGAAAGAACGATTTCAAGAAAGTTACTTAAATTCAAATTCATTAATGCTATGCGGGCTTATGTGGGCTACCCTGAGTACCAGGGTTTTTTTTTTCTCGCATGTGGCGGGAATCCTCGGTGTTGGCCGAAGACACAAGCCACGAGCGGCGACGCCGTGAGAAAATCGAGCGGGAAAGTATAAAGACGTGACAGACACCGAAAACCGCACAAAAGAAGTCTCTGGCACCCAGGGTATAGTGGGCTTAAAACATTCACAATTAGTCACATTTTGAACAAAGAGATTTTAAGTTCAGAGGGACTCTATGAGACTTGACAATTATATGAATATCACAAATAAGAACTGCGAGATGAAGAATAAGTGTACAGATGATCCCGCAGTTCTAGTGACCTTTACAGTCTTCTTCGTAGCCATAGCCTGAATATGGGGCGTTTCTGGGGAGAGGGGGAATCTATCCTGCCCCCTTCTCCGTTCCCCCTTTGCATTCTAAAATCTCCTCTCCCTTAACCCCTAAGGAGGGTCATAGCCATTTTTAAATGTACGCCATTTTTTGAAGCGTGACATCCCAAACACCGGTTGCGAAGGATTAATATTACCCTTTCTGCTAAAAGGGACTACACTCGTTATACCCGGCCGCTCAGCCGTTCTCTGGGAAAAGAGGTTTGCGTGTATGGGTGCGGGCACCTTTAAGCGTACTCGTGCACCAGAAACGGCGGTGTATCTGAAGGCCCCCGGGGGGTACTCTCTTACATAAGCCATGGAGGTATGTGCTGCCCTAAAGGGTAGGGTTTTTGCTCCCTTTCGGTCTAAAAAAGGCTTGTAGACTTGGTCCATTTCTGTCTGATATCAGGTATGGTTTCCAAAGGAACTACGGGAGTGTATGAATTAATAAGAGAATTGGAAATGGATTTTAAGAAATCTTTTCCTTGACGTTCTAATCTTGACTTCACTTGCTTGCTTGGATAGCGTTATCCAGCTTTTGAACAACTAGGGCCTGGTCTCAGAAAGGGTATGGAAAATGATATTTTTTTGGTCTGACATAGGGTCAGGATTTGGAGAACCGGGCGGCACACCCTCACTAAGAATTCTCAGTGGGGGCTGAAAGCTTCTTATTAGCAAAAACAATCTTCACCTGACAGTTAACGTCGCAATGCCTTGACGCCAGCAGTGACCTCACCCCAGCGTCATTACCTTGATTGACAGCTAAGTGAAGCGGTGTGCTTTTGTTCTTGTTATCGGAGACATTTACATTTGTACCTGTGTTTAACATCGCAGTCACTGTTTCTCCACTGCGATCACTATGAAAAAAAAGAGAAGCATCTTAAAAAAAGGGTCTCAATTCCAAAGTCGTCTTACCGATCTTGTTCCCAAGAAACTTAAAGGCACGTGTAATAAGGTACGCTCTACTAAAAACTTAGGAAAGCTAGGCCAAAAGTCTCTGCCCTTTTAGCCGGAGTATTAGGTGATTCTGCGTATCAGGCGTTTCTGGGGGAGGGGGAGAAGAGGAGTTAAAACAGGAGACTGACTCCCATTCCCCTAAATCTCCCATACTGGTGGTCAGAACAAAAGCATTTCTCTCCTGTGGGAACTATTTTCGTGTAAATTCTTCGAGAAAAAATTCTATTGTATTGACCACCAACACACCACCCACATGGCCGCCTTGTCACGTGGTTGCAAGCAATGAATACGACGACACACACAATACAATTTCTCCCAACCAGCCGGAGATGAGTTTGCCCCTAAATGACGAAGTCTTCTGACCTCAAAGCCCTCTTACGAGCTCGATCGAGAGCGAAAAGAAGCACCACATTTACAGTTTTCTCACCAAAAGGTGCAGGATAATATATAGATTTAGCCAGGGCTAAAAGCGAAGCTCCCGTTAATAAATTCATAATTTAAATCAAACAATAAACTTGTAATCCACAGATCAGGGCACATTCATTTGACTTTTGAGGCAAAGGCTGAGTGATTTTAGAGAAAAATCAGAATTTGACCGTCCAAGAGTGAAACAAATTTTACATCAAGTTATTTTTACACCGAAAAATAGCAATCATGTTCGATCACAGTAGATTAGGCCTGGAAAACAAATAGACCTATTCGTGTATTGTATTTGCATTAGCTGTAGCATCATAATGTGGCATTCACCAGTCTCTCCAACATTGCTCCCTTAGAGAGACTATGGATAATTGGACAACCCCGAAATATAATTTTAAGAAACACATGCGCCACGATAGTCCTTGGTGGCAGCCAATTTACACGTTGCATTCCTCTGTCTAAAAGAGAGGCCAAAATAAAAATCAAGCAGGATTTTTTGTGTTCGACAAGTTTTTTTACTAGTAAATCTTGGCGACGAATCTGGTGGCGTGTAAACCAGCCTTTTAAACATACTTTTTCTCTTCACGTCTCAGGTAAACAGTACGCAGACCTCGGACAGAATTTGTTCTTTTTTGCCCTATTTAAACCTATAATTCTGCAGTTTTTCACAATTTTTCAAGAGAATTTGCACTCATTCAATATCCACGACGATCAAAGCACGCGCTTCCTATGCACAACAAATTATAGCATTGAATATAAAACGATTTCTGTTAGAAAAATCTGGTCCTATGTGATATGCGGGGTAATAATTATGGGCTTTTAATGAAAACGATAAAAAAATTCCCAAAATCACTTTTCGGCCAGCCGGACGGGTTCTCACTTTTGACAGGCACCAAATTTGCAGTGCGATTAATAGAGTTACCATTTACGCTTCAACATGATAGAGAAATTGTTATGTTTAGGTTTTATTTCCCTTTATTCATTAAACTGTGTATGATTTTGTTATGTGTAATCTTTAAAAGCGAGTGACATTTACGCGCGGCGTTTTGAGTATTCCTACATGCGATGTTTATGTTCGACTGGAAACAACCGGTGCAGCGATGAAAATTGCGAGAGGGACTACTAACAATCAATAAAATAAGTTTAATTCGGTGAAACATGTACAGAGACAATAATTTTCATTCACGAAGAGAAGTATTGAGAGTAAAGTGTCTCAGAAAATCATGAGTCAGGCAAGCATAAGCTTATTTATGTTTTAAGCCGGCTTCCCGGTGTTCGCTCTTTTTCACGGTGAACTCGAGGCAAGAAAATCGCTCAGAGCTTTCTGTTTACAGCCAAAATCATAACTAAATAATCTTCGGAACCTTTTCTTTGAATTTGCGGGTCAAAAAATGTCTAAAGGCTTTTTAAACCTGATACTATTGTAGGTTAGATCATTGCTCGTGTTTTAACTTAAGCCGCATAAACCATACGCTCGACTTCAGGAAACCGAAAAAAAAACAACATCAAAAACAATAATGGCTCAAGCTTACCAGCCGAGATGCTGCTTCTGAAGGTCATCAAGTGTTCCAGAATCGCTTGAGACTTTTCAACCTTCTTACGCCTCAAGCAAGGGCAAGTGAGTAAGCTCATTTTTGAAAACGATGCCATCCGAAATCGGATTTCCAATGACTTTGACAAGCGGTGCATTTGTCAACAAAAAGCGCAATAAACAAGCCAGCCACGAATTACAGAACAATCTTGATAGCAGCTGTATTTCATTTTGTACCCCAAGTAGAAAAAGACAGTTTAAAACATCACAAGATGACACAAAACTCTCTCAGCTCCAGCTATCAGTAAGCAAGTTTCCAGACGCTGCAAAAATTTTCCGCATAAACTCACCTGTCAAATTTTGACCAATCAGATCATAAAAATTGGACGTACAGCGTGATCAACGCGTGACAGTGAGAAAAGTCAAAAGCGATTGCCTTCCCTGCATGTAAATGTAAAAGCCGGTTGAATTTTCGTGTCCGAGATCAGTTCGAAATCAACATTTTAAAAGCGCGGCTCATGAAACACGACTTATTTCATATGCATTTAAAAAAAATTGAACTTGAGCCTGCGATCATTTGAAAAGTAGCAACTTGTCAGCGAATACCTTCTAAATATTAATCGAACTCAGAGGGTCGATACCTGAGCCCGCGATACGGTCAGGCGATACTGGTCAGCAGAAACACTGTTTTGACAGCTGTCAATTAATCAAAACATGGATGTACAATATCAGGTTGCAGGCTCCCAAACTGTAGCTAGAAAGTGTGAGATTAAACATTGGTATGCCTGTGGTGCGGAAGGACGGAAGGTCGGGTGGTCGGCGTACGGTCACGTGATTGCCGAATTTTCTAGGATGGATAGATTTTCTATAAAGCTATGGGGCTTCGAATTGAGCCCGTGATCAAATAAAATATCAGCGCAAAACTTTAAACACTACGTGACCTCAATAGATAGAAAAATGAGCCCGCGATCCACTCAGGTGATGATGGTCAGCGTATACTCTAGTTTGACAGCTGTCAATTAACCTTCATTAGAATGGGGAATATTCGAATTACCAGACTACGAGCGTGAGTAGGACATTTCCGTCCGGCATGTAGTGGAAAATGCCAGATCGTGTACCTGAGCGAACGTGAGCCCTCGTTATTAGTTTTCTGATAGTGGTCTGCACATGTCCCATTTTGACAGCTGTCAACTGACCTTAATTTGGCCTGCCAATGTAACTTTAAAGGACTGTCAGCCAACTGACAGCCTTGCCCAGCGTAGTTTCGTTTTTATGTTGAATTGGTAAGTGTGACATATTATATCAGCTTATATATAGGGGCAAAACGACTGGTCTTTTATCTGAGCCCGCGAGACGGTCATGTGATAATTGTCAGCGGATGTCTGATTTTGACAGCTGTCAATCTAATCGTACTCATACGGATGGCTTACATAACTAAGATTCTAGTCAAGTTGTGCAAGATCTATTGTGACATTTGACATCGGCTTACATGAAGTGTGTGTACGGACGGGCGTACGCTACGTCATAACCAAATTTTCTGGGATGGATAGTTTACCAAATTTTCTTACCCATGGTGCTCCGCTGCGCGCGCGCGGGAGCTCCGCTAAAAAATTGTTACCGGAAACACACACATTTTTAGACAGGAAAAACCATAAAACATCATGAAACCTTTTGAGATTTATAGGATGTGCGAAAATCGTAAAATTAATTATCACTCATGTAGAACTTAAAATGCACGTTACGATTTCTTTTCGTAGGCTTACTGTAGGCACGTCGCATTATAAGAAACGCTTTTTTTAACTCACCCATAAGCGGCATGGTGCAACGCAGAGTAATCTTGTTCATCCTAATAATCCACAAAAAATGTAAGATAACTAAAATAGTCAGGGCCTGTTTACAGCAATAATAATAATAATAATAATAGTAATAATAATAATAATAATAAAGATAATGAAAGTGGTAATAAAAATTATATTGATAATGATTATGATGATAAACTTTTCAATAGCAAAACACTTACTTTTTTTCCAAGACCATGGCCCCGATGAGACAGGATGAAGACGACAGTTCGATAAAATTTCATTTATCTTTGCAAATGTCAAGAGAATTCACCCGAACGGGGGCGCAATTGGTCGAATTTACACAGGACTGGAGACAAATGAACAAAACCACTGCAAACATACAAACCTTGATGTCCTTGTCAGCTCCTTTACCTAAAAGGTACTGTACAATTTCTTTCCGTCCTTGATGACAGGCCACATGAAGAGCTGTCTTGCCTCCTCTTTTATGATCGATCTAAAAAACACGAACAAAATATGGATAAAAGTAAATAATAACATATAATGTGATGAAAATCGACTAATCACTTCTTGTCAATATCTGCCAGCTAACTGTGATTAATCAATAGCGCCATTTAGTAATTTAAAGGGTAGGTAACTGAAAGGTACTTTTTTATTACCTATTGAAAAAAATATATATCGAGACTGAGTTGTTTTTGCATTTTTACGTGTTCTTGACCAATCAGAAATGAATCAAGCCGTTCGCAACTTGCGTACACACGTTTTCCCGCGAATTCAGCGGCTTTAAGAATCTGCTTTGAGTTTTGATTGGCTCAATGAATGACCGAGTCTACTTTAATTGGCTAGATCCAATTTTGATTGAAAACCGCTGTAAAGGAAGTGGAGTAATTTTTTAAGCATCGACGACGGCGACGGCGATGAAAACGTCACTTTAAAAGTGAATTCGCGCTGCCTCAAACTTTATCGCGCTTATTCCATCTTGTTTAATTCGTCAAATGTTGGCAATTTTTTTTGGCGTTGAATTCTAAAGGACTGTATCAAAGTTCTGGAAAAGAATAAGAAACTTGTTGTCTTGTGTTCCCGTGGTCGACAAAATGTCATTTTAGACACTTTCACGTTGTAGTCGTGCGACGGCGGTTAAGAAATGTACAAAAAAGCGTGATGCACGGGCAAATTAGTTGTTGTTTTGCCGATCTAAACCTATTACTTTTTTTGTCGTTCTCGTTGACGTCGCCGTCGTCGTTGCTTAAGCTCCCTGTTAGACGCAGAAGAATACCTTGCCAGGATGTGCTTCAAGAATTTCACGGACCTCCTGAAGGTTACCATTGGATGAAGCATTTACCAATCTGTCTCCCGGATCGACACTGCCTCCTTTGGATGTAACAGCTTCAAGAAGAAGCATCCTTAAGAGATCCGTTGCTCGGTCAACTGTGGAAGGGGGTTCACAGTAATCACTCAGAGTAGTCAATTACGCAGCCAGGTTAAGATAAACAGTGATCGCATTGTTCCAGATTGACATAGACTGATATACCAGAAAGGCACAACTCGCCTAAACAAGTTAAGGGAAGAGCGGGGACATCCTCGGAGACCCAGGGCAGATAGTGGGGGCGAAAGAAAGTCTAAACGGGCGCAAAAATATGGCACGAAGAAAAGTAAAGAACGGCGAGAAGAGCCCCTGGGGACAATGTCTTACCAGACCAGTTCCAAACGGTCGCCGTCGTTGTGACTTCTGACTGGGGCCAGAAAACTTTTTTGTGTTTTTCTGCCCAATCAGAAGGCAGAACGGCGGCGACCGTTTGAAATTGGTCTGGTAAGACATTGTCCCCAGGGGTTTTTCTCGCCGTTCTTTACTTTTCTTCGTGCCACATTTTTCCGCCCGTTTAGACTTTCCCTCGCCCCCACTATCTGCCCCTGGGTCTCCGAGGATGGGGCGGAGATAGCATGTTTGCAAACATTCCAGGAGATAACATCCGGTCAGCGTTGCACGACATTGTTAATCCTCGTTCAAAATTTGGTCCCAAAATAGCACAGGGGCCAATCACATAAGATGAAACGTCATCTAGTGGTTACGTAAAGAGACTGACAGTGCTAAACATGAGACAGTAGCTGTAAGGACTGAAGTTGCGTTTATACAAACTGAACCAGAAGAGTTCAGTTGTCACGCAGTTACCTGGACTAGTGGGGGAAGTATCGCCTCGTCTTGATGTAGCTTCACCGCCTTCCGACATATCTTCTAATGCAGCTGGGTTCAACAACCACAAATCCGAATCAACCAAAACCACAGCATCGCCATCAGAATCCACTTCTAAGATCCTTCCCTCTTTTCCTAAAGCCTAGTAAGTTACGAAACTTAGTCAGCATATGGTTCTGATTGTTATTTTAAAGACGAGCACCCATGTGCCATAATTTTTTTGTGGGAAAAGGTCTACAATTCAGAACTTGAAACTTAGCAAATAAAGTACAATTCTGATATCCTTTTTCAGCGTAAACAAAAGATGTTAGAAAAAGCAACAACGCCATCAGCGAATTGTACTCAGTGTTCCATGTTACCGGTGCGTGATTTACGTTAGAGGTTTAAGCTGCCTTTTCCGCTTTTTATCTGCTGTCCTGTAAGGTACGTTTACTTAAGACACAACAAGTGCCAATGTCGTGTGACTTAAGGTGATCGGAGACAAATGACAAATACCCTCGACAAAACTGAAAACTCTACCTCCAAGAGCACACAAACTAACTACTCGTTTGGTATGTTGCTCCGCGGCACAATATTTTAATGTATCCTAAACCTTCACTCTTGTTCTTGGGCGAGACTTACCATCTCAATCACCCACGACATGATTCCGTCTGGCCACGTAGCTCAGTCAATCTACCAACGGTAGATTTGTTTCGGATGTCATATCGTGAGTTTAGGTTCTTCCGCGGGCCTAACTTTAAACTTATCTTTCGGTTCTATTATTTGCACGTTTCGCGTATTAGGCTGCAAGGTTGACGGAAGAACCTTGCCTTGACATAATTGAGTAACAAAGAAAGAGTGATGTATCATAGCCGCCGTACGACCCAAGACTCACCGTCGTCATTTTCTCATTCCAACCACCATGGCCCTGTTGTAGATTTTGTACAAGTTGTTTGTCGCTTAAAATTCGGACTTTATCTCCTGCCTGAAAACTGGGCACCTGTGGAGTCGAAATACCAAAAGCGTGTTCGCACAATAGACGTACTAATCACACTGGCGTTCAGTTGCTTAACAACCTCTTGATTTGGGCTCGATTACCAGCCGCTGTTCAGGAAAATGAGCCCGCACTCATCCTACAGAAAGAGCAGCTGGAATAGTATGATTTCCTTTACGGATTTCAGCCAATCAGGTTACATAAGTACCGCCTGCAGAGTTTCGTCTGGCAACAATTTTCCGCATAATTTTATCATTTCAGAATAGAGAGGTCCCCCCATTTGGCTTCCGATCGAGTTTTAGAATCCTTTAAACTCTAAAATTTTTAAGATCAGAGAAAGGCACTGGAAAAGCTAGTTAGAGGTCAAGATGTGTTCGTTACTCAACCAAAGGGGTCGGGAGAGGATCAAAGACCAGACCAGAAAGACGCCCAGGAAATCCAGCGTTCTTTTGATCCTTAGCAAGAGAAAGTCTGCACTCAAATGAGAGCAAGATAAGCACCACGGCAATAGGCGAGATAACGGACATTCGATACATACCTTAGTTACGGCTTGTGGATGGAAAACCCAACTTAGTAGTCCATAGCTAACGTGAACATCGCCATCGGCGTCAATTTTAGATATTTTGCCAACTTTGCCTATGCACTATAAAGATGAGAAAGCTGGTGAAAACGTTTTCCTACGTACAGCATAAACCACAGAATCAATAGTTAGAATCATCTTGTACAGCATTTAGTATATATCACATTTCAATTAACAGTGCCACAGCTGAGGAAAGTACTTCTCGGTAGCTCAGTTCGTTTCAATGGTCACGCGTTAGAAGATAATTCAGACTCAAAAGTTACAACCACCTTGTACAGCATAATAAACAGTACCGGCGGAAAGTACTGCTCAGTAGCTTTCATTTCATTGGTCAAAATTTAAGATTTTGTACTTAGACTCAAAAATTCGAGTTATACTGCTATTTTCGTGTTCCAGTTTCACTATCAGACCGCAAAGCTAACTTCACACGACAAAGGACGCGTTTTCAACCGGCCGCTGGAAAATTTGCGCGGACACATTGCTCACGCGGAATCGTTCAATATTTTCGCGCTGTTCACACGGACCTAACGAGCCAGGTTGAACGGCTAAGCGTATAAATTTTTTGTCCGTGTGAACGGAACCCCTAAACGCACAAATTTTAAACCAGTCGAAAATTATCGTCTATTGCCGTGTGGACGTAGATTAAGGCCGGACAAGATGTAAAAACCTACATTCAAGTATTTCAATTCTAACCCTATTACAGTTCACAAAGTAACATTCACGGTACAGTTTTCTGATCCCCCTGTCTTCTAGCCTCCCACGCAGGCGTTTTTAGGGCCGCTCGTGGCTCCACTCACTAAAAACACCTGCGAGGGAGGCTACCTGTTTTCTTAACTAAATCGTGATTCTTACTTTAGCCATGTCATCAACCCAGCCACCATGACCAGCAGACATCGCTCTCAACACCTCAGCATCCAGACACACAGATACCCGATCTCCGACACGCAATCGACTTGAATCGAGTCGCCGTCTATTTTCTCCGAGTTTCGCCAAACATTCACGATAGTATGGCGGCCCAATCGCAGAGGATGAGCATTTAAGGTCCACCTTAGAAAATAACAAACACAGTAAACATTTAAGAAAACGTATATAACGAAATGTTTCTAAAGTATGTCCAAGTACCAACGTTCCAAATCAGCCGGAAAGTTTCCGCTAAATGTTAAAGAGTGGCTCGAGGGGGATACTCAAAAAAAATACTTAACAAAAATACCGCGGTTCTGCGGAGAGCATTCAGTGTAGATGTCAACAGAGCAGCTTATCATTACTTCTACAAACTTACAAAAGACGCTTTAAGACTGAAACATAGGAAATAACTACGTATACTGTGAAGAGCCGGAGAGTACCTGAGAATACGAAATTGGGTCTCAAAATTTTGCGCAAACTAATCAGATTAGAAATCCTTTGCAGAGCCGTAGCTAGCAGGGGAGCAAGGAAGGCAGCTGCCTCCCCTTCCCCCCCCCCCCCCGACCTGTTGAGCTGGACACATCAAGTCTTCGGATGGATTTGTTTTCTTTAGACTCAGTTATTTTGATAATAGCGACTTGCAATTGTTTGCCATTTTCATATTCGAGGTCGATTTTTCGGAGCCATATCTCATGACAAGTGCTGAAAATAGCATTTCGCATTCTGTCATCTTATGGGGGAGTGGGGGTGCAAACCCCCTGCACCCTCCCCCTAGATCGGCCCCTGCAATCCCAGGTGAGTAAAGTGTCAATTATTACAGAGTTATTATGCGGTGGCGAGTAGACGTCTTGGTGGCGATTTCGTTGGTGACGAGATGGTTTGGTGGCAAGATGACCCTAAACCGTATGTGGATATGGGATGCACCACTCGCGTTTGATGTATTACGCCAAAGGATATCCCGGAATCCGGGATTTGACCAAAAGACAGTGCGGGATTCGGGAAAACGTTGACGGGATGCGGGATTTGACCAAAATACAGTGCGGGAGTCGGGAAACGCTGACGGGATACGGGATTTAACCAAAAGACAGTGCGGTTTTCAGGAAAACGCTGACGGGATACAGGATTTGACTGCTGCCCGCAAAGCGAGATTCCGCAAAATTTAGGCAAGGCTGCGAATAAGGAAAGAAAATGACATTTGGGATAGCGACGAAAGAAGTTTGGGATTCGGAATTCTCGTGAAAAAGCCGAAAACCATTAGGGATTACCACTAGTATTCCTTCTACCCAAGGACAATTACAAAATGGAATCAACTCCCAAGGGAAACAGCATTGTCCAATTCAATGGCTGCTTTTGAAAATGCAATTTCAAACATTTATCAACACTTCTAATAATTACTTTTGCGCTTAAAAACGCCATTTCAGACACTTGTTTTTCCTTTTTAGAGCGGTCTAAAATGTTCAGTGTCGAGGGACAGACCTAAATTGTAAATAAATAAATAAATAAAACAAAAATGTTCGGGAATGCAGAATCAGGATCACCGTTTCCAGACCCAGTCGAAGGCATTAATTTACCAAAACGTACCTCTCCCATGTGACCTGTTCTGTAGGTGTTCCTGCTAAGCAGACTCCACATAACATTGGCACCTGCCCTCTCCACTCCATTCCAAGAAGTTATTTCTGTTAATTGTCCAACGTGACCGCCTCCACCATCTTGGTCTCCCCATTTCCAATCTCGCCCACGCGTTACTCGGGCACCCGGAAAAAGACCTCTTGATTGTTGCTTAGTGAAGTTCGGGCGTTTTCCAACTGGGATTCTAAGAAAACAAAGATCCACTTAAATTCCCACATCAGCAGTGATATGAGAAACAAAAATTTTTAAAATCATTCACCCACGTAGAAATGATTTGGGGGACGGGGCGGATGGTCGATTGAACCTTGTGCGTGCTGAGGGTGGATTTAGAAACTGTGCTTACCTCTGGAAAAATCCTCATGATATGTAGTTCTATCTTATGAGTCTATGGACGAAATGAGGCTTGTGGTGTGATCATTCAAATGAAAATCTCTTGGGCAGTACTTTCACAAGAAGCTATTTGCATTTTACAAAATAAAATAATTGAATTTTTTGTTAAAATGACTTTGGTCTCTTCTGGGAGTCAGTGAAAGGGCTAAGAAACTCAGGCTGAAATTTGATGAATTAAGCACCATGCAAATAAGAACCAGTTCAGAGAAAGTGCTCTGGCTGGAAGAGATGATGCGGCTTTACTATTAAAAAAAAAATTGCTCTTTCTTTCATTTACCTCCAAGACTTTGTTTTTGATTTTTTTGGCGATCTTTATAGCTAATAGCACCAACTGAAAGCACTGCTGAAGAGGTTTCATTTGAAAGGTCACACCATAGGATTTCATCCAGAAATTCAAAAGGTAGAAGAACTACAATTGAAATTAATAATACCATAAGAAAGCAATGCTGAAGAGGTTTCATTTGAATGCTAACATCATAGGATTTCATTCACAGACTCAAGAGTTAGAGCTACATACTAAATAAATAGTACCATGTGAAAGTACTGCTGAAGAGGGTTCACTTGAATGGCAACACCATAGGATTTCATCCACAGACTCAAAAGTTAGAACTACATACTAAATAAATAGTACCACGTGAAAGTACTGCTGAAGAGGGTTCACTTGAATGGTAACACCATAGGATTTCATCCACAGACTCAAAAGTTAGAACTACATACTAAATAAATAGTACCATATGAAAGAACTGCTGAAGAGGTTTCATTTGAATGGTAACACCATAGGATTTCATCCACGGACTCAAAAGTTAGAACTACATACTACATAAATAGTACCATGTGAAAGAACTGCTGAAGAGGTTTCATTTGAATGGTCACACTAGAGGATTTCATTAACAGACTCAAAAGTTGAGAACCACCTCACAAGACTCCATCATTCACTCTGGCAGTGAAAGGGCTAATCCACTCCATATTATTTTTTTTGAGGATGTTAACTGTATTATTAAATTCATCTTACAAAACTGTCCATATTGGACTATTCAGCACAACACCAATACCAGGCGAGTCCTCTCTCCTACGAAAAGGCTCCTGCTGGGTATCCCAATAAAATAGCAATAATCGACAAATAAAAAGTGAGCCACGGATAACGGGAAGAGGGAAAAGACGGGAGCCTCTCTCCTCTCTTTCCCCTTCCCATAGTGCGCACCCCCGCACGCTTTCTTTTTCTTTCTCCCTAGCCTCTCTACAACACAAAGAGACCTCTGCAGAGGAGAGAGGGCTGAGTCTCAAGTGCAAAATCAAAGTGGTCAATAAAGTATATGCACTGTAAAAGCCCATAAGCTTTAGTATCGTCTATCGGTCCATTTGGTGAGCTGATCCATATCTTACGGGCTTTTACAGGTACCTCCATGATTTCAAGTCATGTTTAATGATGATGATGATTACCTTTTCCTTGTGCTCGTAGAAAAAATTGTTATATGTAGTTATATGCTAGCTCAGTTCCTTTTAACTGTTACAGGAACAAGCACAAACCAATTGACGCAAGTGAGGGGAAAGAAGAGACTAAATTAAACCCATTAGGCACGTTGTACTTACCCATCTCCACTCGAAATGTCAAAACGTAAGAATGAATGATGCATGTTATGCATGTCATTCATGAAGCATGGTGAACAGAGATTATAGTTTGGACAGTCTGCACATTTCCACCTTGTTCCAGCAAGAGGAGACTGCTTACAACCATCACATATGATAGGAGTGTGCTTCACACCTAGGGCAACACCAAGAATTAAGGCATTTCAGAAAAGTTACTTCCTAGGCATGGGGCACATGTGTGCCTTATACACAATCTTACTTTTATCTTACACCATCATAAAACACCACATAAATTGTGAAAATAATATAATCAATTTGTCCTACACAAGTCCCATTAATCACGAAATTAAAGTTCAAGTAAGGGAAAGTTCATTTAATATGACAAGGGGGGGGATGAAGATATTGAAACTCGAAGCTTGAAATTTTAGCAGCCCCCCTTGCTAGCGGTTCAATTTTTTAGGAGCCCCCTCCTTGGTAGTCGAAAAAATTTCAGAGCCCCCCCCCTCCTCCTTCAATTCCTTTGCTCCCCTGAAAAAAGATCGCTAGACATATTTACCGTTATTGTCTTCAATGGTTTATACTATGACAAACTTGAGATACAGTTGTGATACAATTTTCTAAAGCACTTTTGGGATGAACAAGAGTGTAATAATTACTGAGACTACATTTGTTATATCTGTAAACCACGTGATATAGCTGAGTTGCACAGGTCATTAAATTGTTGAGTTGAAAACCACCCGATCTGTATGATGATGTCATCTGTTGGTTTTGAAGTATACAAATTTTCAGAGCCCCCCCTCCTAGTGCAACAATTTTTTCAGAGCCCCCCCTTCGGGTGTCTAAAAATTTTCAGAGCCCCCCTCAATATCTTCATCCCCCTTGTCATATTAAATGAACTTTCCCTAATATGAGGAAAACCCAAAAAAGAGAAAATTATAAATGCTTTAGAAACAATGACTGCAAATTTATATGGGTAAGAAATAAATGATCAGAAAAATGCATATTCTTGTTGATCGCTGAATTTTCTTCTTATGACTGTAAACATCACCAAGTTGCTAAATCCCGGATGTGTACTTCCGCCTTGCGTGTTGTTGTGCCCTCAAAGACAAAAAGAGGCTTACTCAGAAATATCTTAGTTTACAGTACTAAAATACAGTATTTTGTGTCTTCAAACGTCTGTCTTCTGATATAGTTGCATATCGAAAAGGTATTACTAAACTCAGGCAATTCCTTATAAACACTTTGACAAAAACGATCAACAAACTGCATGGTTTACATGACTTCTATCCACTGCATGAACTTGACTTCGATCACGGAGATTGATTTAAAATGGGATCAGATATATATGCTCATCATTAGTACTAATTTCGAGCTCACAAGGGCAGCGAGAACCTTACATTGCAACTAAGAAAACAGTCATAGCTACTTGACTGTGGGTTTCATCAACCCGTGTCAACCAGCTAATCACCAGCATCGTCAATATGCAAATTCCATTTAGAATCCAAAATCTTTGAGTTTTGCGGACGTAAGTTAAGTTTTTTATCGTTACGTTGTTGGGAAGAAATAATAAAATCCAAATTGGCACCAACAGAGTCAGGGTAAAAGATTCCGTGATACAGAACGTAAACATATTTATAGTCTTAACCTCGTAATCGCGTGTTAAAATTGAAAGTGGCGTGAAACAGATTGGAACACTCTTGTTCTTAAGGGAAAAATTTGTGACCAAATCGAAAGTGAATAATATACTTGCCTGCTTGAGCACAGTCCAAAACCCGAAGATCAAACTTTCCCGAATGTCCAGCGCGGTAGTTAGCTTGTCTTCCAGAATCCCAATGAACTAAAACAGTTCCATCGGGAAGGTTTCTATCTTGACCATGTTGTACCACCGTTCCAACATTTCCTTCTCCTCCATCCTGGTCTCCCCACATCCAGTCCGGACCACGGACTACACGTGAGCCGACTTCCATTCTCTTATTTCTCGTCTATCAAGATCTTAGTTGCGGGTAACGACACAAAAAAGGAACACCATTTAGGTGACCGCCATTTTGAATTTGGTACAAAGACGCAGTTGCGTGACAGCAGTTTCTCACTTCCGGGAAAAATCCCCACGATGACGTACCCTACTACGGAGCGTTATAACGGTAACGAGGAAAAAACGTTCAAAACGACCAAAATGAAAAATCAGAAAACCGTTGTTTTCCTTGTTTTTACTAAAAAAAAAAGGCAAAGAAACAAAAAGTCTGCCAGAAAGTTAAAGGCCGGAAGTAAACGAGAAAAACAAAGAACTTAATTGATACTTAATGAAATTTCGCAGGTCTTAATTTCGCGCGTGATTTGCAAAAGTCACAAAATTAAAACCCCGCGAATTAACAAATCCTGGCAAACTTTAATACACATGGAGAAAATTAAAATCATAAAAGAAAATGATTTTCGTGTAACAACAAAAACGTATCTAGTACAGTATATGTTTAGCAAATACACACATTATTAACTGGTTTTACTAGTAAGCGAGTTCCATTTTGTATCTTCTGTAGAGCGTACGTTAATTTGCCAAGATTTCCAGTTTACGGCCTTAAAAGTTAATTTTTGAATTTACGTAAAAGTTCACACTTTTGAACATTTGAGCAGACTGAGCAGGAAAAACAGCTTTCCCGCTCTTTTACTTTGCGCCCCACTCTGCTACCTGAACGCCTGGAAGAGGCTACGAATACCACAAAGGCTAGAATATGCCGATCGTAACCTGCGATCAGGCAAGACTTTTCCCTTTGCCTATCCATCAAATTTTGAGCTTCTCCGAAAAAAAAAACGTCCGATCGCAGGTTAAAACATAACATAACATAACATGACTTTGTAATTTGTATAGCGCAAAATACATGGGTATATGATCTAATGCGCTTTACATTACAACCCTTATAATATTACAATGAAATTGATTAAAAATTACAGCTCTTCTAAATAGTTAATAAATGGATACTAGATAACAATATCATATATATATATGCATGCAAAAATCTATGTTAAAACACTATAGGTTATAAGCTAAAAGCTAATTTAAAATAATTAGTTTTTAGCCGTGCCATAAAAGTTCTGAGACTGCCCAAAGCTC